TTATTTACTTTAGGATTTCTGCGTCACATATCCAAGATAATGTGCACTTTCACAGATTGTAGTAGTTCCAGTCCACCTAATTTACTTTTAGTTTTATCTAAAACTTGTCTCGAAATAGAGCAAAATGGCGTCCATATACTAGTGTGTATATAATTAATTTACAACTATTCTTATAAAAACAAAACTAAAAACGAATAACTCTTTTAGATATCGTTAGTAGATGACTTATATGAAATAGATTCCGAAAACAGTACCACTCTCACACACGAAACTGAGGTTTGTGCTCTCATGCGGGAGACATCGCAAACATTGTTAGATGCCTATGTTCGCCTGCAGGGTACAAATATATCACAGGTAAAGGAACAGATATATACAGTAATCCTCCCTATAACGCGATTCTCCTATAACGCGTTTTCATATTACGCGATTTCAATCCCCTGTATAACACGGGCATTCCCCCATATACCCCTATAACGCGGAACCAATCAACCGTGTTATAGGGGTGATTACTGTAATTATAAGTGCTTCAGAGTGTTCAAGCTAAATTTAATTCGTTTTGTTTTAAACATCATAAGGTGTTCGAATATTTTCAGCTGCAACCTCATCGGTCAGAAGTTCGAACATTAAGAATAAAATCTGAAGCTCTTATCATTTTTAAAAATATATATGCATACTTACCTTGTTTTATAATTAAAGATGTTACGTAAAAGTGTTGAAACTCGGGATTGGTTAAATTGTTTGGAACCTCGGTCTGTGCGTGCAGTTATGAAGCGTGTTGTTGAAGAATTATCTTCAATAGAAAATGTTGTTGCCAGTCTATACGAAGCTGGTGTGCGTACTGCGGCGAGTAGTGACTCCAGCCGTAAAACCCATTTTAGTAATTTAACAGCATCGAAACAACAATTTCGTTCCAATTGGTCCAATTACACTCCATCTCAGTTGGATAGTTATGTATCGAATATACATCGACTATTTTCGGAGCGCATAGATATATTTACATCAGTTGAATTCTCTAAAGTTTCTATCATCACTGGAGTTGTGAAAATTGGGTTGAAGGTAATAAAATAAATTCTTTGCTGATTTTTTATTTTAAAAAAAATTTCAATAAATGTTCTATATTTCTGTAGACATTTTTGGAATGTGTGCGCCTGCGTACTTTTAGTAAATATGGACTGCAACAAATACAAGTCGATACACATTATCTACAGATGAATTTATGGCGTTTCGTTACAGATGAAAAGTATGTTAAGATTTCGATTTTATACGATTTTATTCTTTTCTCTTGTCTTTTTACTTTAATTTTTTAATACATTTATATATTTTTGCTTACAGTTTAGTTAATTTTCTGTTGGATGAAATTCTTGGTTCAGCGGTACACAGGTGCCTAGATTCTGTATTAATGGAACCAAATGCCGTTGAGATAATATGTGAACGTGGTTAGTACTTAACGTTATTGTGATTTTATATAGTTAACACATTCCATATTAAATTAATAATTATAATAATGAAATAAACATTTATTTATTTATAATGCTAGCATAAAAGGGACTACTGTTAATAAAAAAAATATAACTAAAACTTATGTACATTGGTTTATATCTAAGTATTTAATGTTAAAATAATGCTATTTTCTTCGTTTTCCATGCCATCCTCACTGAAATCCTCTGTTGTTATAATAATATTATGAATTTCTCCATCATCAGGTGTTTGTATTGTTATAATTTGTGAATGTGAGTCTGAGTTAGTTGTCCTAGGTACTTGGGTATCTTCTGTTGGTGTAGATAATTTAGATGCTTCCATCCGGTTTTTTCTTGTTTCTTCAAACTCTTTAGGATGTACTTTCTTACGATGAGAATGCATATTTGCATTTGAATTAAATGTTTTTGTGCAATGCGGACAACTGTAAAGTGTGTCACCGGTATGAAGAGCCATATGTTCCTGAAATTATAAAAGATATTATTAATAAAAAAAAATTGAATTCAAATTATATATATTTTAGTAGCGATTTTTTAGTTAGAAATTTGTTAAATGCAGAAACCAAAATGTAATTTAATTTTATCTAATAAAATATCTGAAGACGTTTCAAAATAATCATGGTATTTAGCATATCTGTTCTGGTAATCTGCTAGTTATATAAAGTTTATAAATGTTGAATATAATGGTCTAATGGTTAACGAAAATAAAAAGATGATTGAAGAAAACTATAATTGAAATTTTGTGTATTTCTCAATAAATTTGAAAATAAAAAAGAAATGAGAATTATTTATATAAAAGTTAAGATACTTATTGTTATTGGTAGATAAATAAATTAACAATAAATTGAATAGCTCTCAATCTTATAAATATCAATTAAAGAATAAAAAATACTTATAATTGTAGAATATTATATTTTTGAAACACATTAATATCAAAATAAATTTAGTATATTGAGAGCTTATATATTAATATAATATAAATAGTATTAAAATCATTACACAATTTCAGTGACCAAGTATTGGCTCAGTCACACATATATATTATTTCTTATTATTATTGTGGAATTTGAGCTGTATGAACACAAAACTATTATCTTAACAATAATATACATTATAACTTTTATATATAATTTATTTGCAATTTAAGAAATATTTTTTTCTTCAGTTCTACATTTAAAATATAAAAGCTAATATATACCTTCAAATTAAGTGGCTTCTTGAAGGCTTTCTGGCACAAACCACATTTATATTTGCGTTCTGATGAATGCACATAGCGTTGATGGCTTAGAAGTGCGCTACGATTAGGTGCAACTTTATTGCATATATCACATATATGTAAAGTACCGTCTTCGTTATGACGACGTTTATGTTTTTGCAAACTGTATTTATCCTTATGCCATGATCCACATTTGTCACACTGCACTTTTGGTATAACCGCACCAGTGTGTTGTAATTGATGTTTAGCGAAAGCACTTCGTCCACGTATTACCTTTGCACATATATCACACATTGTTCCATAGCCAGAATGTGTTAATTTGATATGTGTCGCTAGACGAGATGCTGTGGGGTAACTATTCAAAATAATTATTTTTTTTTTTGCAATAAAAATAAACTAATCGAAATTTGATTTATTATGGTATTACCATTTTTTGCATATCTCACAAACATGCGTGTACTCCTCTTGTGAGCTGTGTATACTTCTATGCAAAGTGAGTAAATACAACTTAGCGAATTTTTTTGGGCATGAATCGCATTTAAATGTTTTTTCTTCGTCTGGTGTATGTTTTAACAGTACGTGATTTCTCATACATTGCTTGGTTTTAAAAACTTTGTCGCATTCATTACATCTGCAAACATAAAAAAAATAATTTTATCAAAAGTAAATAAATAGTAAATTGATTCAAAAACTGTACTTATATTGTTCGGGATTAACATGTTTCTCTATGTGCTCCACTAGTACACTTCGTTTAAAAAATTTTTTGCCACAGCAGAGTACGTAACCCTTTACCCTATGTACTTTTCGCATGTGCTGTCGCAAAGTTCCGAATGTTAAGTTCTTAATAGCACAAACATCACATGTAAGATTCATGTGTTCAGCTATCTTCAGATCTACATCATCCGTTTTTAAATCATTTTTAATATCAATAGAACTCTCGCTCACTTTTACTGGAGATTCATTATTAATGTTACTTAAATCAGTTTTACGTGGTCGTCCGCGTCTTTTTTTCTTTGTATTTTCTACAATTTCTGGTATTTCGATATAAGAGGTTTCACTTACTGGTTCACATTGCTTTTCAATTGTTGTTTGTTCATCGTCATTTCGTTCAATGGCTTTAGTTGTAGAACGCGTCAGTCGCCGTTCTATATGGTCATCAATTATAATAGTTTTTTGTAAAGTATCTTAAATAAATAAATTATAAATCTGTTCATTAAATTAATACCACACAACTTACCAACACTTTTTGGTTCCTCTGACACATAAGGATCGGTTGCCTGTATTTGGATTTCATCTGCTTCAAACGATTGTACAATATTTAAATCCTCTGAGCAATGTATAAGATTTGAATCCGTTGAATATTCAATTTCTTGCAATGATTTTTCAGGACTTTTTTCTTTGTGCTCATGATTAACTATTTCTAAAGTATCAGAGTCAATTTCCACATCACATGATATCAATTCGCTGTTATCCAAATATTCACTATGTTCTGCCATAAGATTTAGCGTGCTGGACGTTACGCTGTTACTGTTTCCAACTTCCTGAACATTATCTTTTACGTTTATGCTTTTCACAAAATATCGTTCAGTTAGTAATGTATGTTTTTTTTTTACCATTAAATAAAATTCGTGAAAATTGTATACATTTTCCCAACAATTTGTGCAAATAGACGTAGATATGGGATCATCATCCATTGGCTGTAAAAATAAGCAATTATATTATAATGAAATTGGTAAAATTGATTTTTATTTTACTTGAAACCAAAAATGTTTAGCTAATATATTTGCCATATCTTTTTTTAATCCATCCTCGCTAAATATCTCAACATAATTAAAATTTCGTTGAAGGCACAAACGACAAATCATGTTTTCTACTCTAAATAATACCAAACATACTAGCTGTACAGTACAAGAAAAAAAGTTGTAAACAAAAACATAAAAAACAGATGTATGTGAAAGAGAACACAAATTCAGGGTTGTTCAAGAAACTATTCAGTAGTAATTCATTAATTTAAGGCCGTGTGCAAATTTGGGTAAATTATACACAGTGTTACTCAAAGTTACTATGTGTAGCTCGTGGAACAGACCTATTGATAGTAAATTGAGTAAATAGTAAATATGTCGGTATTGCAGCGTATGTTGATATTTACTAAAATTTCGAGTAGGGTAAATTAGATAAAAATTAAGATGTAAGATGTTTAATAAATAAATAAATATATTTGAAAACTTTTAACTAAAAATAATAAAAAAGTGCAATCAATAAATAAATAAATATTTACGTAAGTGCAGTGCAAAAAAATTTCAATTTACTTTACCTCAATTTACTCGCACACAGCCTTAACTTTATCATTATATATTGAATGATCTAATTTTACTTTTCGAAATAACTAAAATAAATTCAGTAGTTGAGTTTTAGTGTATAGTATAAGAGAAGAAGTGGAATTTTATTTTTAATGTTCTAGTTTTTTATATTTGATTAACAAATACAAAGTTTATGATATTCGAGATAATTGTTTTTTGAATTCAATAAATAAAAAAAACAACACAGAACGTGACAGAGAATACCGAAAATGTTATTTAATGATAAAATACTTGTAACTCAAATATTTTATTTAAGTATTGTAACTCATACGTGTCTCAATAGTTAATCTAATTGAAATTTAAAATTTACTTAACTATTATTGCTCTCAGTTATTTTTGCTCTCTTTGTTAAATTTATTTACATATAAAAATAATAATATTTTCAAACTGCTCCTCCTCCCTCTTGATTACAAGTTGCTTCAGTCTATTACAGAGATCGACAATTCGGTTAAACAGTTCTTTTATAATAAAAGCTCTATCAATATTAATGCTGACTGATTAATATATTCACTAATAAATGAAGTTGATTAAAAGATATTTAAATATATGCTCCCACTTGCACTGTTATATATTTTAAATTTACAAGTCAGTGAAGAAAGCTTAGACCTTTGCTATGAGAAAATCTACTTAAGTCATAAAACTGATATTGAAAATGTCTGCATTATTGAACTTCATTTCTTGTAATTTTTATGTTGCAATGAAATACAATTAAAAAAAAGCTAATAGCAAGAGATCGGCACATCTGTAATAACAAACAACTGATTTATTAAAAACAACAGTAAACACTGCATGTAAATTACACTATTAAATTGAATTTTTATCATGAAAGAAGCCTCATTACTTTACTCATGCACGCAGCTAATGTTCAACTTGCTAAAATGCATATAGAAAAACGTTAATAAAATAGTGTCAGATAAAAGTTCTAAACAAATGGAAGAATAATTTCATAAATTTATGAGTAGAACATGTTTAAATATTTTCAATATTAATAAATTCTTAAACGGTCATTAAATTGCGTTAAGGGACATTAACGTTACGCAATATATGTAAGTATCATTTTTGTATTATTATAATTTTCACCAAATGTAAATATAATTTTCGTATCTTATCTTAAGATAAGTGCGCATAAAAGCTCAACTAAAACAATTCTAGACTATTTATAAATCTTGTAATTGCTGTGAGATTAATTTTACTTATTTGATTTGGGATCAAGATCCTGTTTCCAAGGTAGTCAAGTCTACGTCTTGCCGCCGCTGAGCAGTTCCATAGAATATGTTCTAATGTTTCCTTCTCATGACAGAGTCGATAGAGTCATTACTTGACGGGTGTTATGTTATAATAACATAGATAAGAAAATAATACTCTGAATACGTAAGGATTTTAAAAGTTTTAATTTATTAAAGGTAATTATTTCAAATTGTTTTTGTATTTTTTACGTAATTAAAATTAAATTTTACATATTTTAAATCACAGCAGTCTTTACATTTTAAACAATTTTTTGTTTTAATTCATCGATAGATAACACTTCAGTTTTATTTATTTTTTGCATTATGTGACAATTAGCAAATCTTTAAAGGGAACAAATTTTTAAATTATATATATATATAATTTGTTTGCTTACTTATAATTTAAAGTAAATTATTAAAGTAAATGTGTTTAGTATATATTTTCGTTATTTTACAAATAAAATTAAAAATTTAAATCGTACATTTAGTTCATAAAAATATAAATCATATACATAATAATAACATTGAATAATTTTAAAAATGTAATAAATTTACGCAATTAAAAAACTAAAAATATAATAAATTTATGCAAACATAAAACTAAAAATATAAATTGCAATTTTTACAAAATTGCACATATTTTTTTTTTTAACTTAGGAATACTGCATGTGTCGCATTAAATATATTAACGAATTTTACACAAAACTTATTACATTTAGAATATGAGTTGGCGTTTGATGCGCCCACTTAGAAAATTTTTTATTCCATATTTTGAAGTTAACATGATTATTTTAAAACTAAATTAATAACTATTGGAATGCTTTTAGTTACAATTAGTATTTTTTATAAAGTTATGTATTATTTAAAATTTTGCACATTTATTTAACATAAGAGAGAGAGAAAGAGAGAAAACTATATATATACCGAGCATTTATTTATATATGTACATATATACGTTTGGTTTTTTATAAAAGATTAGTTATTTTTAAATTTAAGTTTCTATATACACATAATATAACATTCGCAAATATTATTTTAAATATTTAAACTAAGTTCTATTTTACATATATCGAGTTATTTTTTTTTTTTTAAATTAAATTGAAGCTATTAAAAATTTTAAATGGTTATATCCTCTAACAGCTATTAAAATAATTGTTTTGATAATTGTGCACTTTTCATTAAATTCCAACATAATTCTGTAACTAAAATCTATTAGTCTGTGTTTTTTTGTTTTTTTGGAGAACCACTTCCGTACTTCAAGCTATGAATATGCATATGTGGTATGTAATACCTTGAGACTTAACAAAGTAGAAAATTTTAATAAAAAAGAATATCAGTAAAAATTATAGAATTGAGTAGATTAATATATTTCTGAGTTAGGAGCATAAAAAAATATTTAAAAAAAATTAGGTTTCTTAATATATTTAATTATTATAAATTAAAAGTATTTAATTAAAATAATTATTTCTAGTTTTAATATTTATTAAGCTAACAAGATGTTTTAAAAACAATTGCAGTTTAGAATAGGTAGTGAATACCAGGTCTTTTTAAGCTATTAGCATTGCAATAGTCTAATAGAGTTAATATTGTAATTCAAGAATAAAAAATTACAATTTTTTAAATTTTCTAATTGCGAATTTACACGGTTTATATGGATCATTCTAACAGTTACAAATTTTATACGTCTCCTTAATAAATTTTAGAAGTTACAGACACAATATATGCATAATGCTATTTCGACTCTTTAATTGGTGTTTTAGTTAATAAAATACGCAACTTTTTTTCTAATATCTAATTTTGATATTTTTTTACAATTAAACAATTCATAATACTAAAGTCATTAAAAAGATTTGGCGATTAAAATGAACAGCTAAATTTAAAAATCTAAAATATGCTAATAAATTTTATGTATGGCTAATATATGTAAAACATTAATTCGAAATCTACGACATTTACGTTACACATTTTGTATTTTATAATTCTCTTTAATAATTAAAAAAAGAAAAAAAATTATGATTATATAAAAATTTCTTATAAAGTTCCAATGTAAATGTTATATCAATTAATATATATTAGAAAATAATTTTGTGAAAGGAATTAATTGAATTATTGAATAGAATTTTAATAAAAATTAAATAAATAAAGTTAACTCTACGCTACTTTACGAGTAAAAGTTTAATTGAAATTTTATCGAATTGAATATTATCGAACATTCGTCAATTACACATAAATATTTACATATAAACAATAGCCATTAATAAATTTTATTTAAAATGCTTACACTTTTAATAATAATATTAAATTGTACATATATTACACTTGAGGCCAATACGAACTAACTACAGAAGTCTGTTTAATTTCGATTAAATTAGCGAAAAGATTAACTACTTGCCTACGTACACATATACGTAATTGTGTGCATTTAAAACGAGAAATGTAAATTTAAAAGCTTTTTAAATTGAAAACTTTGTTATAATTTGCAATAATAAATTTTAAATTTGTGATTATTGATTATTTAAGTTTCGTTTAAAAAGTACATTGCAAGGCTCTAAAGTATCTCTCTATAAAAGTTTGTCTTTTTATCTGTGTTCAATGCATAACCTATTTTTGTTTAGTTTATTGATATTCTTTAATTACAACAATCCATCGTTGTATAAATAAACCATCCTCTTATTATATAGCTATAACTTCATTACTCCATTTGTTAACCTGCTACCTGTTGCATTGTTAGCGTACTTATTAGTTGTTGACATAATTTTCCATACTCAAATTGATCACCGGAAATACGTCTTAATTTAATACCCTTGCCTGCACCTTGATTATCGCGACTCCGTCCTTCACATACTTGCAATTCGATTTGTAAGCCACCGGAAAATTCAAGATTCAAATTTGTTGTTGTCGGTCCAGTATCCATGGAAGAGCTGGATACTGAGGAATCACTCATTATCGAATTTGTTACACTATTATGTCTTCCTTCCACATACGTACTAGCATTAATGCAATCCTCATTTGAAATGCTACCTTTATGGAGTATAAAACCCTTTGGTGGCATTGTGGAATCAATTGTTTGTTTAACAATTTCGAGAATTCGTGTTGAATCCAAATTAGAACATTCATGTGGTAACGGAACTTCATAGCACATTTCTTCAGACATGCGTCTGGAGTCACACATCGAATCTGGTGTTAAATGCCCCTCTGTTTGATCACCAATTTCCGAATGAGAATCTGATTTAAAACCTGAACTTGCTGACGGTTCTTGGCAAGGTGACAAATTATTGGAATCATTGCTCAAAGAATCATCAGAAAAACCCAGCGATTTATCACTTCCACGTCGATTTCCATCTGTATTGGCTGATGATGTGTTTGCACTTGTACTATTATTTCTTTCGGCTTCTTGACGTAGGGCGGATATGTTCTCATTCTCAAGGCTTGCCTTTCGTCCAATACCTCGGGTTATGGATGGCATATCAGTTGAAGGTTCTGTTATAATAAGACCCTGTGCAATATTAAAAATAAATACAATTAAAAAATAAAATTTTAAACATTTAATAAGTTATACAAAATACAACGTATGAAATTAAAGTTAAAAGTCCTAAATATCAAAACCGACTTTAATTTTATAAGTTATTAAATAAGAGTTTTTAGTAGGGATCGTTTGTTGTTGCAGACCGAGGAGATCTATATTGTAGGAGATATGAAATGAATTAGAAAATATAAATACATGGTTTAGGATATCCTTGGAATAAGGATGAGAGATGTTAGTAATCGGTTATTGTTGTAGTTCGTGAAGATTTATATAGCATATGAAAGAAGTTACAAATATGAATAGATCGATTAGAATATAATTGCGTGATTGAAGTGTGCAAAGGGAGAAAATTTCTTGGAAACAAAAATGGATCATGAAAGGGTTTGATTTTAATTAAAGCTAACTTGGGTCAAGGTAGAGAAACCTTGTGAAGACAAAGGCCAAGTGGTGAGTATATTAGAACATGAAAACAGATATGAGATATCATGGGTGGTAGACCTGCATTGGGAAGTGACACACTTATGCGTGCTAAGTAATTGTTAAGCAAATGGCTATATCTTGATCTCAATTGAATTTATTGCAATTGTAATTGTAGCTAGAACAGTTCTTACTGCAGTATAGGTTGTGTAATTTGTTTGTTGAAAAAAATTTTTTTTTGGTAAAATAATCTTTCACTTCTTGGAAAAACCTAAAGCTTAATAGATCTTTTTTCTGAATGAAAAAGACGAATTAAAGAGATAAATTTTTATTTAATTTAATAATTTAATTTTTATTTATTTATTTTAAACTATAAAGATTAAATTTAAGTGAGGTTCCTACTAAGTAAGAGTCAATTTCTCTTTTAGTAGTGGTATCTGTATGAATATATTTATACGTTGAAATATAGATCATACCAAATAGATCGACAAATTATTAAATATATTGATGTCAATACATGAACGCAATATAAATATTTTTCATATCGCAATATGGTTCCATCAAAGGGTATAATGAAACGTAGTAATAAAAAATTTTTAGTTTACTTAATCTATTTAAAATTTAGTGATTTTATTTTATTAATTCAATGTGTTTTAAATTTACCTGCAGAGATACTAATGGTGTATGTGGTTCAATTGACTCGCAGTCACTATCATGACTATTCTCCGAAGACACCAAAGTAATTTCACTACCTTGTACATCGGTTAAGCATATTTGAGGATGAGCAGGTTGACAAGCAGATACAGATTCATCGGACATGACACCCCCTGTACATCCAGCATACGGTGTGCCAGTAGATATACTGTGACACATTTGTCCATTAGCAATTTCTTCCTGTATAATACATAGATTAGGAGAAGCTGGTGGTGTAGTTACCACACGTACTGGCTGAGCAGGAGATAAATTTAAAGGTTTCAAATCATAGTAAGATGCTGGAGGTAAAAACCAATTTTGCGCATTGGGTGCTTGGTTATATAAATTAGTATTATTTTCCGTAAGTATATCCGTACTACAAACATCCATAGATAGATCTAAGGGTTGTGCAGCAGATGAGTAAGCATATTCGCAAGCAGCTGATGTGCCACGTGTAATAGAACCTCCTCCACCAGTTGTAAGACCGGATATACCTTTCGTAATTTGATGTAATGGTGAAGAACTGCCACCGCTACCGCCACATGGCATATATGTGTTATTATTGGTCATATACGTATTTGGTGAAGAGCTACCACTGAAACTATTGTAAACTGGCGATTGGCAACCGCTGCTATTGTTTGAAACATTAAAGTGACTTAACGTTGGTGAACCACTTGTAGTTAGATTTATATTACTGAATTGACACACTAAACCAGTACCAACACCAGCACCACTATGTTTTTGTTGTTGATACAATGTTTGTCCAAGCATTTGCTTTGAATATCCACCCATTGTATTACTAATTGTATTAACTGTATTTGCATTATTTGATAAGGTAAGTGGCAAAACCCCACAGCTTTGCATTTGTTGTGGTTGAGTGTGTAAGATATCTAAATTGCCACCGCTTACAGTGTTCTGTGAATGAGCTGCGAGACCCAAATATGAAGCCAAGTCTAATGGTACAGTGCCTGTAGTCATAATTTTTTTGGCCATTTCAATGCTGATCCGTTGCTCTTTCGTTAGACGATCTAATACAGGTAATAGCGTCTTAATTGCTTCTTGTGGAATCTCAATATCTTGATTACGTCGAAACATCATATGCATTGCAGGCTTACCATGTATTGGAGAACCTTAAAAAAGATAATTATAAAATTTTGTATAAATAATATATCAACATACGCGTTTAAAATGCAAATAATAATTGAAAATACCAAATATCATCTATAATAATATTTAATAATAAACTAGAAACTATTTACCAGTACACAAAATTGTACAAAAAGTAGGAAACAAATTTTAATGTTTATTATATTAAATATAAAAGATACTTCTTTAATGGAAAGAGTAAATATCCTATCTCTGAAACAATTTTAATTAAATTATTAATGTAGCATACTTTATATATACCTATACATATGTACATTTTGTGTAAAAAGTATCTGAGACTATTATATAAAACATAAAAAACTGTTAAATAAATCAAAATATATTTTGTAGCCTTTAAATTAGATTCAATAAAGTGCAATACAACTATGTCAGCACCTGACTCGCAGACATCATGCTCATTTAAATTCCCGGTAGTTGAAACATTGACGGAAATGTAAAAGCGGGCGAACTAACTGTCTGTCTTTTATCAACGTATCTCTATAGGTACCGGTTTATGTATCCCTAAAAACCATTAAAACGGTTTAATTTATCTCTACTTTTTTCAGGTAGATAGTAAAAGGTGTAAGTAACTCAGAATATCTGAAGTACGCTCGACCTGATCTTGGTATTAATATGATATACTACCAGGCGTTTGAAATAGGAACCAACTCCATACTGTTAGGCTAATTGCAAATTCAGCCCATTGTAATTTACGAACACACACTGAGATATGATATTTTCCGCTCAATACTTCTTGTAGGAGTTGCGAAAACTTGAAATGAGAAGAAAGAATTATAGACTTTTTCTGTGACCGCCTAACCTTCGCTAAGAAGAGTGAAAGATTTTTGGTAAATACTTTTTTTATAGTCTGTCAGTTAGACTGCTTATCAGTAAGATAAAAAGATCTGTTAAATTCCATAAACTCAACACAATAAAATGAGTACATTTATAGAAGTTTCTTATGCGGAACGTGATATTAATAGTAAGAATAATTGCTAATTTGGCACAATCCTCCCTACAGCTTTTGGTAGGGTTATTAAGTTATAGTATTCAATTCTTTTTCTTTTATGTATGTAATTAATTTTCTTCCTCGAAGTAGTATTTTCTACTTTATTATAATTATAACTGTGCAGTTGATGTAAGTACATTCAAATCTCGCTTGATCACACCAAAACTGTGTGATGATATCTGTGGTGTTACCTATTATAGCGGTTTTTCAATATATAGATTTCGGATACTTTTTACACTTATAATACTTTTATATTATTATTTACATTACATTATAAATTATTTGATAAAATCCAAACCTCAAATAATTTTTTTTTTAGCTATTTCTTAGTAGTGTAAGATATTTTTAATACCTAAGTGTGGTTTCTGTGTTTAAAATTAGCAATTTGTGCAGAAAAGCTTTGCATTTTTTTGATTTTCATAATTTTATAAAAATTTTCATTTTAATTTTGATATATACACAAATTTTTAGTCAATCTTACCAGGCAAACTTATAGAATTTTCTAAAAGCGGCGGACTAGGTGCAACCAAAAAATTTCGCTGTGCAATACCTTTTTGTAGATACTGACACTCTTGTAACGGTCCTTGAAACTGTGCCTTCGAACCTTCTGAAGCACGACGCACAGGACTATAACGACCTATTCGAAAAATAAGAATTGTAAGTATTAAACAATAGGTACGTACTTCAAATTAAAATATTTCATATTAATTCTTATATTAATAATATATTTTTATTAATTATTAGATATTATTAAGTTTATTATTATATCATTGTTTTTTAAAAATATTAAAATTTATTAAAGAAGTATTTTGAGTGCAATAATAATATGTAGTTAAAGTACAGTGCTACTTCATAAACGTGAACACTTGTTTTTAACGCTTACTAGTCTTAAATTAATTCACGTTTTCGAGTGACTACTGTATTAATAAACTTATTTTTAGCAGTATGAAGAATGAAAAGGAAAGCTTTGTTGATTTAATAAATAATAATATTACAATAGCTAATATACGTTTTACATTAACATAAAATCGCTTAACAAATGTTAGAATAATAAGTTTAAGTTGAATAAAGAATAATAAAAAATATTATAATAATATAAAAATAAATTTTAAAGTAATAATCGAATTATTGAACACAAATGCAAAATCATAAATATTCAAAAAAAAAAAAACTTACCAACTTCTTGTACAGTGGGTAGCTTACAAGCTCTACCGTAAATACGTCTGTTATTAGCTGCGCACGATGACGCCAATGGTACAGATGACGTTGTCAGCGATTGGGCTTGCAAGATATTGGAACTTCCTGAATGGGAATGGGCACCAAATGTGCCACTAGGCGGGGACTGACTAAGAATAACATTGGTACTTTGTTGCATTTTTAATGCAGGCGGCATATAGTTTCGGTTCATACGCGATTCAACTTCACGTATGAGTTCAGGACTTATAACTTTGAAAAGTTATAGGATTTATGAAATAATTGAAGGACACAATATAAGGAAGTCAGAGTGTTTACAAATATATGCATGGACATCATAGAATTGGCGTTTAGATTTTAACATATTTTGCATCAAATTACATCCAAGCAAACCAAAAATAATTTATTTTTAATATAAAACGAAAAAGAAAACATAAATGAAAAAATTATTTTTAATTAATTAAAATAAAAATTAATAAAAATTGCGTTAAATTATATAAAAATGATATCAATTTTAAAATACTAGCTGCTTAGTGAATTCATGTGATGTTTTAATAAAACTTTTACAACAGCGAAACGTGCTAATACATGCGAAAATATATGTGAAAGATAGATGTTTTACCTGGAGGACGTTCTGTGACTGTTAGTAGACCGGTACGCCTTGTACGTATTCCACCTCCTGCATTATTACCAGCAACTCCAGTTACTACACTTTGCTGCGTGATATTGGTGCCCATATGTGCACCTGGTATAACATTTTGTTCATATACACAGCAGTTGTCACCCGGGTGATGTGTTACTGAAAGATCATCCGTACAGCCAACAGTGTGTCGTTTAGCACAACCACGTATTTGCATGTAACTAAATGACATATAGAATTATATTTGTTTTTATTTTAGATAATTAAATGATATTTAAGTTTTTACCGTTGAATTTCATCACTGCTTTCTTCTCCAGTTGCTGTACTGTCCGTAGCTGGATGAGGATGTGTCTGTTGCATGGGATCACATATTGTTGAATGTGCACCAGTACTCATATCAGTGGCAATTACATTTGGATTTATATAATATGCACCTGTCTCCATCTGTTGTGCGGGTCCTGGTGTTTGTGGCATGTTATTTGTGGAAGGGTAATATATATGCAAATTGGCACCACCATCAGATGCACGACGTCCAAAAGCACCAGCTTTAAAGATAAAACACAAGATAAAGACAAAACAGTAAATAAATATTACACATCTGCTTTAATACAAAAAAGTAATCTTTATTTATTAACTAAAATGACAATCTTCAGAAGAACGCCGTATTCAAGGGGCGCGGATTAGAGGATAGAACCTTTAAAAATATAATAAAAGAAATATTTTCTAATATATCCCCCACCTTCGCACAATTCTGACTACTTCATTAAATATTTATTATAAATATTAAATAGTATATTTAAAAAAATTATAAACATTTATTAATTAAGAATTTGTGCAGAATAGGAATAAAAATTTAACCACAAAAGTAATATTCTTTTTTAATCCGTTGTTATAGTCCTATACATATTTTAAAAACTTGTAAAATTGAAAATATTCACAAATAAAGTTTTTTAAAAACTTACTTGCTCCCATCACCGTTGGCGGTTTAAGCAAATGTTGATCCTTAATTGTTAAATTGTGTAGTGGCTGATTTTGCAGCATTGGCAAGTTAATGGGCACATACGGTCCTGTGGTACCATTATTATCAGTTGAGCATTTAAAGGTGATTGGCGGAACATTGGGATTAACTAAAGCTTGTTCATGTGCCACATCTCCAGGACCAACTGTATGACGTCTTGTGTTAGGACCATTTGTTCCAGGCGCATTAGCACATAGATGGTTTTGATTGTTATCTTGAGCCTTGAAAATGAAATTATAATTATATTAAGAATAATAATATCTATATTTAGATAGTTACCTCATCTGGTTGTGCTAAACATTCCAGTTCTAATTCTCCAAATTTTTCCAAATCGACAGAAACATCAGTCCATTTAAAGCCTAAACCAGTACTGAATGCATTTGTATTACTTAATGGGCTAAGACGATCGACAGATTCCTGTTTTGCGGGCTCAGAACGGTCTACGACTCCTGTTGTTATACTAGTTTTACGTAATCTGTAAAGAAGAAATTCAGTGAACAAAGTGAGTCTTTTTTATTTTAAAATTTTTTTTGAAATATGTAAGTTG